CCCCCCCCCCCCCCCCCCCTGGCTGCTTCCCTGCAATCGCATTGCAACTCACTTGCTGACTTCCCTCCCTCTCCGTCCCTGTCTCCACTTCTGCCCCTTGCGGCTTTCTCTCCGGCTCTCCCAGGCCTGGGACGTGAAGACCGGGCAATTCCTGCACAACATCATCGAGGGTGAAAGCAATGACGTTGAATTCATCTGGCGCTTGCATTTTTACCACGACAAATTGGTGGTCGCGGTGCAGCAGTCCTCCGAAAACCCAAGCACGACCACCACCCAGCCGACCAACCACTCCTCGACGCTGGTTCTCCTGAATTACGCCCAGCCAGCCGATGCCACCCTGAAGGACCTTCACAGTCGATTCATGCTCAAGACCGGCGGAGCTGGGGATTCCATGACGGGCGTCGTGTCGACCGCGGCCACAGCCGGCGGCCCAGCCGGATCTTCCACCACCCCGGCACAGGGCCCAAACCCGGCCTCCACTGCCACGACACATCCTTCCCTGCGGCCGGTGGCCGGTGCCACTGCGACTGGCGGTGGCAGCAACAGCCCGGCTGGCCCAGGCGGTCCAAGTGGCCCGGGCGGCCCGGGCGCCAGCGGCTCGCAAGTTCGCACGTGCCTTGCTCAGTTGCTGAATGCCGCGTCTCCGGTGGCCACTCTGCCGGCGGGCACCGGCACCGGCGCCGACAGCCTGGCTGTTACCACTCAGGACCCGGCATCGTCCGGGGCCACCGCCCCGATGGAACTCGAAAGTGGCGGCGCCGACCCGGTCACCTCGCCTCTTGATGTGCTGGTCTCGGCGGCTGGCGCCTTGTCGACCATGCCTGCCCAACCGCCGCCCCCACCACCCCCATCACACCAGCAGCACCATCAGCCGCCCACATCCGCTTCTCAGATGTCTGCATCCGCTTCTCAGATGTCTGCATCCGCGCGTGCCGGTGGCAACCCCGGTCCCCTGCTGCGCTCGGTTCCCCTGGCGGCCGATCTCCGGTCCGAGGTACACCCCACCCCCCCGCGCGGGGGGGTGCCCGCACTGGTGCCGATGGTCGGGTCCTCGTCCGTGTTGTCCACCACCGGGTCCGAGGGGGACTTCCCCTCGGCCTCGGGCTCTGACGGATCGGCCGGGCGGTCCTCCTCGAGCACCGCCACCGGCTCCGACAGCTCTAGTCCTTTCTCCTCCGGCTCATCGGGCAACTCGAGCTTCTCTTCCTCGTCGGGCTCTGCCTCCACCGGGTCTGCGCTGGGGTCTTCCTCGATTGCCGGATCCTCCTCAGTCGCCGGGTCATCCAGTTCCTCATCCCCCTCGTCCCCCTCACCATGGCCCGGCCGCAGGACAACCACCGGGGCCGGTGCAGTCGATGCCATGGCCAGTGCCTCGGCCGCCGCCACAGCCGCCATGGCCGGTGCCTGGTCAGGCGGCCCGATGGCCGTCGACTTGGAGGATTCCCACGTCATTCCGGACTACTTTGATCCGACCCTCCGGCCGGCGGCGGAGGGGGCGAATGCTACCTCGCCGCCCGGAGCGCGAGCCTTGCGGCAAAGCCGCACCCCTCCGCTGCCCGGGACATTGCCCCCTGCTGTGGGGTTCCCTTCCTCCTCCTGGCCCTTCCTCACGTTGCCGCCCCCATGGCCCAGCCATCCCGCTCCTCAGCCCATGGCGGCCGGTGCTGCAGGTGGCCCGCCGACGCACACACGCGTGGTCATGGGCTCCTGGGCCCCGGGCGGCGACTCGACCGGGTGCCTGATGGCGGCATCCTCTCAGCAGCACCAGCAGCACCAGCAGCATCAGCAGCATCAGCAGCATCAGCAGCACCAGCAGCACCAGCAGCATCAGCAGCACCAGCAGCACCAGCAGCATCAGCAGCACCAGCAGCACCATCGCCCAGGGGGGGACATGGCGCCAGACCAGCTGGCTTCCTTTATGCTTCCGGCGTTCCAGTTCCAGCCGACTGGCAGTATGGCAACCACTCAGGCGCCGGCCCCGCCGCTGGCCGTGGCGCCGGCCAATCACCGCGTCAGTTTCCTGCCGAATTCAACCGCCTCGGCGATCAGCCGTGAGGAGGACATGTGCCCTTCTTCGGACGACGACCTGGACGACTCGATCCGCATTTAACCCGGCCACACAGAGGAGCCCGCCCACCATGCAGGATGGCCGAGCGGTGGCGTTGCGACCGCTTGGAAGCGGGGGAAGAGCCAGCGGGAGAGAGGAGGCGAGAGAATGCCGCCTCGCACATTTGCGTCTCCATTTCTCTGCGCATACGCGCAAGCGCGTTCTTTCCTCAGTTCCCTCTCTCTCTCTCTCTCTCTCAGCACGCCTATGCCCGCGCCGAAGCTGTACTTTTTTTCTTCCCTGCGTGTGTGGGCGTCTCTTCATCTTGTGTCTTTCTCTCTCTCTCCCCCCCCCCCCCTCCCCGACGCGCCGTCCTTGTATCATATTCCCTTCCTTGTTACCCCGGCTCTCTAAAAAGCCGCGTCTTTCCTCCCAAATGGTGTGTGAGCATGAGGGAGAAAGAGAGGAGGTCTTTCCCCATCCTCCGGGGGTGCCCTTTCGCGCACCTGGCTGCCTCCGCTCTTCCTCTTCTCTCCAGCCTCCTTCACATCCTCCTGTACATTTCCCCCCCTCCCCCATCTCCGGGTCCTCATGCAGAGCCACTCAAGCCTGCTGTGCGCGCACCAGACCACCCGCAAGTCCGTGCCGATGCACCCCCCACCCACATCCCTCTCCTCTTCATGGCACAGCCGGATGCGCGCCATCTGCGCGCCTGGAATACACAGTTGCTTTAGACACACATGTTATTGTCCCTCCCCATCGCTTCCCCCGTGCCCGGGCAATGGTTGTCCCCCTTCCCGGTGGGGAGGCGACCTCAGCTGGGCTCCTGCCGGATCCCAAGGGAGGGGCTCCACATGACCCATCAACCGACGGCCAAGCCATCTGTCGAGTGGCTTGTCCTTTGTCAAGCATGGCATTCAATTATTGGCGCAGGCCAGTGGAAAGTTTATCCCCCGCTGGAGCGAGGGACCGAGGCAGGCTGGCCGCGTGCGGTCGGTGATCCATAGTGGAGAGGGAATTCGGCCTGGTGCAGGAGGACCTCGCGTGGGATGCTGGAGTGCAGGCGAAAAAGAGTCCGGCCATCCGCGGGCAGGGTGCGGCCACTGGCGGCATGGGCGTGGCTCCAGGAGCAAGCTGAAGTTGCAGACCGGAGATCGCAGACAGGTGGACGTGTGGTCAGGTGGTAGAAGACTATGCTCGACACGGCGAGAAGGGGGGGGGGCGAGGGGGAACACCAAGGCAGGCCTCCTTGCCCCCGCAGCTGCAAGGGCACACAGGGAGAGATGTACTGCAGCCACAAGGACACTGAGTACTTCGGACACGGGGGGACATACCGAGGCATCAGGGCGACCAGGCCACGATCATCTGGCGGAAGGGCCACGCGAAGGTGTGCACCTGTCCCGGTGGCCATCGTGCAAGATGGGCAGGGAGAAGGGATGCACGGCGACAACGAAGGAGAAAAGAGCCGGACAGACGCATCTTTGGCCTGCCCCGACGCCGGCCCGGCGTGTACAGCACAGGGGACTCTGGGTGCCTGCCCTTCGAGGGACCATGCGGTGCTGAGGGTGAAGGATGGGCCCACCGAGGAGGAGAAGGAAGGCGGGCCGACTGCCGAGCAGTCCTATGAGAGCACAGGGATCCTCCATGCCGGGGGCCGAGAAACACCGGCGCCGGCTCTGACTCACTCATCGGCGGCGGAGGAGGACAGCACGCTGGCCAAGGCCGCGTCTGAAGGAGGGGATGGTGGCATTGCAAAGCCTTGAGCGTGTGGAAGGGAGACACCGGGTCTCAGTGCACCATACGATGATCGCGCGGACTCGCGGCGGGCAGCACTGCCGGCAGGCCAGGCAGCGGGGCCATAACCAAGGGCGAGCAGGAAATAAGGGGAAGGCCGGGGCAAAAGGTCTTGTTCGCAGCCGGGGGCACCTCCCAATAAAGCGCACCCACCAATGAATATCGCGCCCTGCGGTTCCTGCGCGATCGCCTGGCATCCGAAACTGGATCGGAGCCATCGTCTGTGTTTCTGCCACAGTCGGACGATGTTTGAAGCCGGAGTTGAGACCCGGCCAAGCGAGAACCGAAGCAAAAACCCGCTCCCCGAGGCTCAAACATGAACTCTAGCCCAATGAGAAAAGCACGAAGTCCATAATATTAGAGAAATACCTTTTGTCTGGTTCATAAATAAATACACAAGTCCATCGAATATATGACAGAAAAGTCCTTGATTACAGGAGTTAGCAAGTAGTTATGTTTTTTCGAGCAGGATGTGCATTCACCTTTCCATAGTATTGTATTTGACAATAAATAGCCACATAAAAGTCGGTGTGTTGCCCACGGCCGTGCGTGTGCTGCCCACGGTTGTGTCAGGGCATGCGGGATCTATCCGAGGATCCGACCACGCGTCAGTGCACACAGGGGGGGGAGGGATGGGCGCTCACATTGGGGGGATGCCAATGGTCATTCTTTATTTCGGGGAGGCAGCGGCAAACACTTGGCGGACGCTGAAGTTCAATCGCGATTGCCGCATGTACTCGGCCAGCAGCTGGCCTTCGGTGGTGGCTGATGGAAAATCCTCCCCCTCCGCCGGCGGCGAAGGAAGAAGAGGACATTTGTGCTGCCCACCAGGGCCTACCTCCGCGAAGAGGTCTTCCCCTCGCGCAGCCAGGTATGTCAGCAATGCTGGTGGAGTCGTCTCCTCCAGGATGCGTGGAACGCCTTTTGTCCCCCACCCCCAATCACCCCCCCCCACCCCATCGATGATTTGTTAGTACCACCAACATGGCCTTCGGCATCCCCACAGGATAAATGACTCCACACACACTCACACACATATGGGCGTGTGGAAGTTCCATGTCTCATTCGTCTCGCACCATGGAAAGCCAATCGAGAGGGCCCACTGAGGATGACAACGTCGCCGCTACGCAGGAGAACCGGCACCGGGTCCACCGATCGACAAGTGCCTCCAATAAGGAAGATGGCCGAGCAGCCGAGACTGTGCATGCCAGCGACAGAAGTGTCAGCACCCAAAGCACCGACCCCTGCCCTGGGCAGGGACGGACAGGCATGCTGTCGTACCTGATGCTGACGAGGGGCGCTTGCTCGGGCGCCTGCTCGGAGAAGTCCGCATGTCCGGTGAGACTGTCACCGGGTGAGTAGTAATTCACGATGGCCGCCTCCGGCACCCACTTGCGTCCTTCCTCTTCGGCCATCGGCGATTGGCTGATGGCACCGCGAGCCAGCGAGGCCAGCAGTTCGGGCATCGGCCCATGGTCGCCCTCGACATAGGTCTTGTTGGTCCAATTGTAATGCCACCCAAGGGTGGCCCACCGGAGCTTGCGCAGGGGCGGCGCCGGGACGCCGCGCTTGCGAGGAAATCCCCCGGCCAGGGCAAACTCGCGCCATGGGTGCGATCTCCGCGGCGGGCAGCCCGCGGCAGCCCCCTCGGCAGTGGTGATCCGGTCCACCAGCTTGAGGGCAGCCGCCCGCGGGTCCGACTCCGGCGCCTTGGCCGCCGGGGGATTCTTGACCAGAGCCCCGTGCCGCTGGCTGAGGGCCGCTGCGCAGTGGTGCCGCGAGCAGGACCGCTCCATGCAGGCTTCTGCGTTGGAAATCATGGCAGCCCGGGCCACCGGGGCCGGGCTCTCGGCCAGCAAGTCCACCTCGGTCAAGGCCTTGAGGCTCCCGAGGGTGAGGGAGGAAAAGTTGGTCCGGCCGCCGGTCCAGCTAACGACCGCACACTGGGCCAGGCGCGCCTGATCGGCGATTGACAGGGCGCCAGCCGCCACAAAGCATCCCGGCGCCCGCCGCATGATGGCCGCCAGGTCGTCCGAATTGTGCGGGTCATGCACGCCATGCCGGGTGCGTGCCAGGCCCGGGTCCAGGAGCTCAGCCCGGGGGGCCTGCTTCAGCCGGCGCTCGGCTTGGCGGAAGGCCGTGTCCGTCCGCGGCGCGGCATGGGTCGACCCCTCCACCGGGAGGGCACCCCACAGCGGGGTGTCCTCCACCAGCGGGCGGCCTCCTGCGGCCGGACGTTTCCGAGATGCAGGGGTGCTGGGCATGCTCAGAAGACGGAGGGGCAAGGATGCAGCAGACGGGCGGAGTGTGGCAGTGTGGAAGCGCGTGCGAGAGGAGATTCGGCTATTTTCTGCCGCCCGGGCCCATGCTCCGGGCGTGGGCGGAGGCTTTTGAATCACCCCGTCCGTTGGCACCTGTACACGGGCGCCCTGCTCTATTTGGCGCCCCGGCGCGAGGGCGGTGGCCCTTCTCGGGCTGGCTGGCAGCTCTCTTCTCCTCCCTCCTTCCCCCCCCGCCCCCCCCCCCCCGCTCCTTCCTGCCGCCTCCGTCTCTTTGCGCAACTATGCTTTGCCGCGTTTCCTCCGCCGGTATGCATCCGCCCCCGCTCCTGTGGTCTTCTCCCTGCCCTCTCTTTCGCCCCCCCTGCCCTGCCGCTGCCGTGATAGTTGTTCCGTCCGCTCGTCGCTGATCATTGTCCTGTTTCCCCTCCCTCTCCCCGGCAGTCGCCCGCGCGCAGGCTCGCCGCCTCTACTCGTCGACCACCCCGGTCATCGCCCAGGCGGAGGCCGCGTCTGCCGGCAAGGCGACGGGCGTCCTCGCCCGCACGCAGAGCTTCGTCAATGGCGGCTTCGTTTCTTGGTATATGCCGGTCTTCGGGCCTGAGTTTGTGCCATGCTCGACCGGTGCCTTGCCGCCTGGCCACTGACTTTTTTTTTCTTTGTCCACCGTGTCTGCCCTGTCAGGGTTTGCGCCTTCGCCCTTGGTGCTGGCTTCGGCACGTTGGTCAACAATGCCTACGCCGAGTCGGCCCCTCCGGCCCCCACCATGCAGGAGATCGCCCAGCTGGAGGCTTCCATGGCTCTGGTCCGTTTTTTCCCGGCACCCATTGCACACACACACACACACACGCGACCCCACCTCCTGACCTCCCTCTCCCTCTCTGCCTCTCTCTCTCCCTCCCCCGCCTCTGCCCGCGCCATCCTGGCCGATCGCCTGCGCCTCTCTCAGCTGACCGGCTCGGTCGCCGCCCTTGGCAATGAGTTCGCTGCCATCCGCGCCCTCGAGCACCACGCCGTCCGCGCCGAGGACGTCAACGCCGTTTACAAGTCGATGAGCGACATGAAGGTTCGCTCGGCCTCTTTCTTCTCTGCCTCTTGCCCCCCCCCCCCTACCTCTCTCTCTGTGCCTTTCTTCCGTCAGCTCTCTTCGCCGCCGCCGCCGCCACACACGCACACACACCCATCACACGCCCGCGCGCATTGACACGCTTTCTTGTATTTACATGCGCGTGCGTGTCTCACTCGACCGCCGGGTGTGGGGCCCCACACAGCACCAGGTGGAGGACCGTCTGGCCGACATCAACAAGGCCGTCCTCCAGGCCAAGGCCGCCCAGAGCGAGCTGAAGGCCACCCTGGCCGACCGGTCGCTGGATATGGCGCTCAGCAAGCTGGCCAATGCCACGCCGGAGGAGGTGGCCCGGGCATTTGCCGCGCAGCGCGAGGCCCTCCAGGCCCAGCAGGCCCAGCTCGAAGACACGCAGACCCACCTTCAGAAGATTGGCAAGTCTGCCTGAGCAACATGCGGCTCTTTACTTCCGCTCGTTGATCTTCTTGCCGGTGTTCGGCAGGCCGTTCTTCGTCTGCTTGGCCTTGTTCGGGAGACGCTGTGCCAGACGCTCAAGGGCCTCGGCCTCCTGCATATCGGCCGCCGCCGCCGCCGCCGTCATCACCGTCACCACCACACATCCCAGGCGTGTGCCCATTTTCACATCATCAAATAGATACGCCAAATCAGCAAAGGTCGTGCGTGTCCGCGTGTGTGTGGTGCGCACACATACGGTGTGTGTGTGTGTGTGGGCGTGTGGAAGGCAGGAAGCATGCGAAATTCAATTTTCCCATCACTGCCCCCCCACCGCCTGTGCCAGCCTCAAGGGCAGCCGCCTCCATCTCCCAGGCCCGAGGAGAGAGGTGCGACGCCCGCCACCCTTGCACAAGCGGTCCACAAGGGGCCATCATGCCTCGCTCCCCTCGCTCCCGCCCCACCATCAGCATGCACGCACCTTTTGGCGGATCCACTGGTCCTCGACGGCCTTCTGCTTCTGCTTGAAGGACTGGCTGCCGCGAATAACATCGCCCTCGCCACGGCGGACGACCGGGCTGCGGAAGAGAGAGGTGACGGCCTGACGGAACATGTTGGATTGGTTGCAGAAGGGAGGGGAGCAACAAAAACTGGGAGAAAGAGAGGGGAACGGGGTATGCGAGGAAAAAATGACGATGAGCTGCCACCGATGAAGCCGCCCACGGTCGACACGCTTAAATAGGCACCTAAAACGGGCGGTCAAGTCCGGTCAATGGTCACGTGGATGGGAGCGCCATTGCCCAGCGCCCTTTTTCAACCACGATCATTTCGCCATATCCCGCCCGGGGCGGGGGGGGGGGGGGGGGGGGCACGGCACCTTGCTCCTCCTCATCTTTGGTTTTTGGCAATCGTTTTTTCTTTTTCGTTTATTATTCCCCCCACCTGCCCCCCGCCCCCCTTCTTTCCCCCTCCCCGACTCTCCCTTCCTTTGACCTGCGAGAAAGTATGCCGGCAGCCCCTGGCGGAAGTGGCGATGGTCAGATTGCTTGTCCGATTTGCGCGCGAGACTTTCCCCAAGGGCAAATCGAGGCCCATGCCTCCTCCTGCGGGCTGAATGCCTCGCCACATGTGTCTCCCTCCCGTCCGGGGCGACAGCCCATCGCCGCCGCATGCCCTTCTTCCCCGGTGCCTGCCTCTGCTGGCACGCGTGAGGAGTGCCTCCTCTGCTGCCAGCCACTGGAACCCGGCAGCCTGAGGACACATCTGGCAACCTCGGCCTGCCCTCAGGCCGGCACCTCCCTTGGCCGGGCGATCCTCGCGCAGGTGGCTCCCCTCTCGGCCGACGCCGCGGATTTCGTTGACACCCCGGACGCCGCGTCGCCCGAGCAGCTCGTCCAATCGACCCTGGACTGGGTTTCCGACTTCATGGCACGGTCGGGCGGAGTGTCCATTGGCCGGGGTCGCGGCCGCCGGGCGCGAGCTGCTGGGCCCCTGGCCGGCGCCCTGCGCACTCAACTCCTCGTCGATCAGGAAAACAGCAATCTCCGTGCTGCCCTCTCGGACAGTGCGATTACCAGTTCCCGCGAAACTGAAGGTCCGCCCCTGTTGCCTCCCGCCTGCCCCTTTCCCCCCTCGCCTGTGCTCTCTCTCTCTCTCTCTCTCTCTCCCCGCCACCCCCCGTCTCGCAGCTTACACATATTCCCCGCAACATAGAGCGCCGCTCCTTCCGGGCAAGGCCCGGCCTGTTGGCTGGCCGGCGCTTGGGCATCTCGCCGAGCGAGGCGCGACTCCTGGCGCGGCTCCATACCGACGGCCGCGTCGGCCGAGCCCCGGGATTCGGCCTCTGCGCCAAGTCCCGGGTTTTGTGCTGTCGGGCCGGGCCCTCGCGACCGCTCGTGGCGGCTCCCCTGCCGAGTGTCGTGTGGTCTCGGGCGCCTTCCTTCTCGGCCCTCGGGCGCCAGTCCCGGGCGCCGGTCGATTTGCCTCCCTTGGGCCCTCGCCCGCCGGCCGACTGGCCCCCCTCGCGCCTGGCTCAGCTGGCGCGCGCCGGCCCCAACTCCCTCGGGCCGACTGTGCCGGATGCCAGCCACCCTCCCTACTGCATCCCGGACTTGGCGCCCTTTGTCCGAGGGGAAGCCCCGCCCCCGGCTCCGTGCCCTTTCCTCCTGCCGCAGCCACTGCCCGGGAGTGATGGGCAAGTCCCCTCGGCCGAGCAGCTCCGCGGCTACATTTCCGCCAGCATCTGGCATTTCCAACGGCGCCTGCACTATGCGCTGTCCGACGCCATCACCGAGTATGAGAGCCAGGTGCGCGAGCTGGGGCGCTTCCTCTATCACCCGGCCTCCTTCCTGAACTTCGCCGAAGGAATGGAGGATGGTGCGTGGCGCGAGGCCTACCCCCTGCCGGCGTCCTTCCTCGGCGGCCTGGACGCTGTCGCCCTGCCACGCGCTGAGACCCCCGCATCCCGGCCCTCCGCCACTCGGCCACCCCTGTCCTCCGCCGTGGTCCCCCCACTGGACGGCATGGTGCTCGGGCGCGATATGGCACCTCCCGCCGGGACTAGCGCCGGGATGTCACCGACCCCAGAACCCTCATCATCCCCCTCCTCCCCGTCCGCATCCTCCCCCTCTTCACCCTCCCCTTCGACACTGGCGCTGCCCGTGGAGGAGATCGCCCCCTCGATGGCCAGCATGGCCGCTCCCCTGCCGGATGTCCAACATCCCACGGCGTTTGATGCCCTGCATGATGATCTGCTCTTTGAGTCCGATGACCCACTCGACCTTGAGCACTTGCAGTTCATCCACGACAGTCAGACCTCTTTGGCGGAGCTCCGGGCCGCCTCGACCGATCGGCCCCCTCGAGTTCGGCCCCTCACCGAGGCGCCCACGGCCCTCTCGCCCCCGGGCAATCCGCCGGAATCTGTTCCATGTAGCCATGCTCCCGCCATGGCATCTGCTCTGGAGTCTCTCCCGACCAGGACCACCCGGCCGGCTGGAGTCCCTGCCGAAGCACCCTCTTCCCAAACACCTTGGGAGGAGGAGCTCCCCTTTAGGGTCCCCGCCGCGCCGGCCAGCCCCCCGCGCATTCATCCTGGTGGCCCTCGGGAGGGCCATCCATTGGCGGACGCCCCGGCTACCCCGGTGGCCCCGCTCCGGCGCCTTGTCCCGCCGACACCGCGGTACAAGACCTTCGCCGACCACGAGTTGCAAGAGCTCTGTGCGCAGTATGGGATCCGATTCAAGGGCCTGTCCAAAGGCCGCGTCTTGCAGCAGCTTGTGGCCATTTGGCGCTTCCAGCGGGGCGACTCGCCGTCGGTTGGTCCCCCAGCGCCCGGGGCGCCGGCCGACCAGCCCACCAACGCCTCTCCCCCGGAGGCAGCCACCGAGCCAGCCGCTGCTTCGTTGCCGGCGCCGCCCGACTCCTCGCCGCCCTTCGATCAGCCCCTGGATCAGCCCCTGGACCAACCCTCCTTCGGTAGCGGCCAGTCCCTGTCCTCCTCCCTGATCAGCTCGGTGTTCGACGACTACGACGACTTCTTCATGGACGGCGATCCGGTGCGCCTCTCCCCGCCTCCTCGTCGGTCACCTCGCTCCTCGCTGAAACCCTCCCCCTCCAGTGAACCCAGCAGCCGGTCGCCATCCTCTTCAACGTCGCTGGCCGCCGCGCCCCCCTCGCCAGCCCCGTCGACTACCACCCTCCCCCAGGCCACGGACGACATGCTGCACTATCTGCTGCGCAACTCGCCCGACATTTACAACCAAATTATCACATTCAAGGTGCGTCCCTGCCGGCATGGATGTCTGCCTGTGGCTGTGCGGCTTTCTGACGCTGCGTCGTGTCTCAGCCGCTTGAATTTGCCGTCGTCCACGACTTGGTTCGCCAGTATGTCACCTGCACTCCGAAGCAGCTCACCCAGTTTTTGGACCAGAATGTGCGCGGCGCCCCGTCCCTCTGCCACACACGCGCACAAACGTGCACATAGGCACCCATGCACACACACATGCACACACACATGCACACACACATGCACACACACACACACACACACACACACACACACACACACACACACACATGCACATCGCATATTTTTTCCCTCTCCCCCTCCCCCCTTTCATGTCAGCTGGCCAATGCCTAACCGCTACGTGTGCACTGCTCTCCGGCCCTCGCCCAGGGCATCATCTTTGCTCCGGCCTCAAACACCGGTCCCCGGACAAAGTACCCGCCCAAACCAAACCGCCGACGCGACCCGCGCGCATAGACCTCTCCCAATAGATAAGATAGAGCCCCTTGACATGAAAAGGCGAAACCCAGATGCACCAGGAGCGAGGGATGGCGGGGAGGGAAGAAGAAGGGGGGAAGCGCGCACGCCAGGGGAGCAGGCAAAAGGCGGGAGCATGCATTTCACCTCCCTGGTCTGCCGGAGACCGAGCACCTTTTCACCAGAAGCCACTGGCGCTTTATGGAGAATGAGGCTACCTCGGGGGAGCCAGGCTCAGCGCAGTACCGGTGGAAGGCCGCGCCGGCGGAAATCCGACCAAGCTCGTGGCCCATGCGATCCAACGCCCGACCGAGGTCGGCGCCGGAATTGGCCTCCGCCGCCAGGCAGGTGAACTCCCCGAAGGCCGCACTCAGGAGGCGCGTGTCCCATAGATGCACTGGCGGCCCGGGCGCCGGGTTGCGCAGACTGCGGGCCATCTGGTGCATGTCGGCCGTATACTCCACCCGTGGCGGGAGCAGCCGAAGACGGAAGTTCCGCTGGAGTCGAGCCACCCAGGGGTCGGGTCGGGGCTGCTTGCGAGCGAGGGCCTCGGCATCGAGCGGGGCAGGGCGCTTGGCGGCCCGGCCGGCCAGCGGGGAAAGGGCCCGGGGCCCCTCCAGCAGGGTGTCCAGGATGCCGGAACCGGACGCCGGCCGAGGGGCACGCCTTGACCGAGTGGCCGCGCGGATGGCGGCCGGGGCGCCGGTACTGCTCGGCACGCCGGACAGGGCTGTGAAGATGCTTGCCCCGATGGATCCCGGGGATGGGCCAGGCGGCGGGGGACTTGCCGATGGCTGGGCCGGGCCAGGGCCAGGGCCAGCCGGCGGAGTGACATCCCCCAGACCGAGCACCATGCCCAGCGCCCGGGGGAGCGATACCCCAAAGAGGTCGATGGCCTCGATGGCCGGCAGGGCGAGGAGACTGTCGATGCAGCGCCCGGGCAGCGCCGCGGCCTGGAGTTCCGGGCAGCTCCCGAGGCCCAAGCGCCGCAGGCGCGAGCCAAAGAGCAGCATGCTCCCGGGGCCCGGGGGGAGGGCCGATTCCCGGCGGAAGGGCGCGCCAAGGGATTCCAAAAAGTCCGGCCCGATGCCCCGGGCCCCGGCCAAATCCAGAGTCACCAGCCCCACACATCCGGACAGGGCGATGAGCAGCATCCGGCTGTCAACCTCAATGGCCGATCCGGGCCCGGGGGCTGCCAGCGAGAGGGCCGCCAAATTGGCCGCACGCACGGCCACCGGCGTACGGAGCATCGGCCCGGCCGGGGGGCTCCATTGGCACAGGAGCGGCAGGCGGGCCGGGTGCAGCCACACACAAAACCCCGACCCCTCGGTGGTCCCCTGCCACCGAGCCACCAGGGCGAAGGCCTCCAGCGCGGTCACCAGCGCCGGCGCCAGGACTTGGAAGAGGCGCTCCAGGGGGATGTGCTCGGTGGTGGGCCCCGGGCTGGCCGTGCCCAGGGCCGTGGCCGTGCCCTTGGCTGTGGCCGATCTCCCGGCGGGGGGCGAGCCTCCGGGGTCCTGCCATGGCCCGGGGCCTGCCCGGCGGCTGGACAAGTCCGCCGGCGACATGACAACCACCCGACTGCCAGCCTCGCCGGGGATGAAAACCCGGCTGGCAGAGCGCGAGCTACCGGCCGGGGCGGGCTGCGCCTCGGATCGCGGCGCGGCCAGCGCCTCGAGGGCCGGCAGAAGGACATGCACGCGGCCCTTGCGCAGGGAGTACCGGGCATGCAGGTGGAAGACATCCACCGGCAGGCCCTCCAGCCGTGGGGTGTGCAGGTCCGACGGGTCGCCTATGAGCCGGGCCCCATCGGCCGCCACCTGGGCCAGGCCCAGCAGCCGACCCACCGTGGCCAGGAGGTAGCCCACCGTGTGCAAGTACAGCCCGGTGGTCAAGTGGGGAGGGAGCTCCAGCGCAAGGTCCAGCATCAGTGAGGCCAGCGAGCCGTCGGCCGGCCCGGCCGGCAGCCGCAAGACCCCCAGCAGGAAGCGCCTCGAGCGAGATGGCTGCCCGAGACGCTCCAGCAGCGGGCAAAACCGATGGACCAGCGCATCAAACAGCCCGTCGAGCAGCGTGCGCGAAGTTTGGGCCGGCCGCCGCCGGGGCGCCGCCGGGGCGCAGACCCCCGGCGGCCGCAGCTCACCCGGCAGCAGGTGCCCAGTGTGGCCGAGGAGCTGGTCGAGGGTGGCCAGCGGACGCAGACACCCCTGCCGGGCCGCCACATCAGCGCGCATGGCGGTCGGGACACCAATGTGACGAGAGGAGAAAGAGGGCGAGAGGAGAGAGGGGAGGGGGGTGCCTTTTCTCCCGGTGCAACGACAGGGCGGTCC